ATATTTTGCATTTAGCTTTAACAGAAATTGTATCCAAAGGCTGCTGTTCCTCTCCAATGTGTTCCTCCTTTATAAGGTCTCTTGTTGTGTGCTGTTGTTAATCTAGGGTTGTCTAATGATGGGTCATTGGAGCTTTTACATGGGACTCATCCACCAACTGGCTTTTCAGGTCGGTCCGGGATCTTTTTTGCTGTGACCCCCAACCTAAGAATAACCTGTTGTCTGGTCATTTAATAAGACTTTGGAGTGATATTTATAAACCGAGTAATAGGAACCTTCATCCTGATTAGTAATCATCCTGGTTCATCCTGACGATGCGCTGAGAAAACTAACAGTTCCCACGTGAAAAAAAACACGTGCTTTTTCATTGAAAATAAACAGAGAAGAGTTTAAATTGGATAAATACTTATTCATACAAGAATCAAATCAGCCGGCTCAAGAGGAACAACAAGAGCAAAAAACTGTATGACAGTCGGGGAAGAGCTAAAGGTGCAATATACTTATTTAGCGATTTCCTCGAAGCGGACGCTAGCTTACAATTGACATACAAACTTGTTGAAAATTAGCACCCATGCAGTTAATTCATGATGTGCCGAGTTGTTTTCGTAAAAAAAAAAAAAAGCGGTTTATACAGCATATTCAGGCATCTCCTCCATTGATTTACGCATTTTTAGCTAAAGTTGGGAGTCTCCCTCTACGAGAGGATGTACTTCACATATTTCACCACAGGAGGGCGTTCATTTGCGTTTCGCTGACTGCAATTTTGTAATTTACAGATCTAAGAATATTTTTCTGCTAATCAAATGAGGTTATTTGGCAAATGTAATCAACATCTAGTAAATCACAGGTTAATCAACTATTTATGAAATGATATTAAAACAATATAAAAAAATGTAATGCCAACTACGGCTCGAGTTAAAAAATAGCAGCAATGTAATTCACATATTTCACCACAGGATGGCGTTCATTTGCGTTTCGCTGACTGCAATTTTGTAATTTACAGATCTAAGAATATTTTTCTGCTTATAAAAAGCGGTTATTTGGCAAATGTAATCAACATCTAGTAAATCATATGGTAATCAACAATTTATTAAATGATATTAAATCAATATAAAAAATGTAATGCCAACTACGGCTCGAGTTAAAAAATAGCAGTAATGTAATTCACATAATTCACCACAGGATGGCGGTGTTTGGTTAAGTTACTTTGATTCTTACCTCTTACGTTTTAAAATATATGTATTTTAACAAATCATACAATACAAGAAAATGCACAAGAGAATTATGTAATCCATGCAAAATATTTGATTAAAGTTAATATTAAGAGACTTTAGTCTTTTTACAGTATTACCGATGTAAGAATATATTTCTAAAAAAATATTAAATTAAATTAAATCAAATCAAATCAGCAATGTAATTCGTTCAATTTACCACTGGAGGGCAGCTGAACTCTGCAGACTCAAATTTATAAATATATTACATATATACAGAATATATTTTTACTAACGGTTTATACAGCATATTCAGACATCCTGCATTGATTTACGCATTTTTAGCTAAAGTTGGGAGTCTCCCTCTACGAGAGGAGCTCTGATGTAATTCACATATTTCACCACAGGAGGGCGTTAATTTGCGTTTCGCTGACTGCAATTTTATCTCAAGAATATTTTTCTGCTAATCAAAAGATGTTATTTGGCAAATGTACTCAACATCTAGTAAATCACAGGTTAATCAACTATTTATGAAATGATATTAAAACAATATAAAAAAAATTAATGCCAGCTCCGGCTCGAGTTATAACCAAAATAAATAGCAGCCATGTAATTCACACAATTCACCACAGGAGGGCGTTTGGTTAAGTTCTTTTGAGTCGCATGTTTTTAAAAATTATTTGAAATTAATATTAAAACACTTTTTTTGTTTACTTGAGTCAATGTAATTTACTCAGTTCACTACAGGAGGGCGTTGGTTACGTTCCTTTGATTCGCATGATTTAAAATATATGTATTTTAACAAATCACACAATACAAGAAAATGCACTACAGAATTATGTATGTAATCCATGCAAAAATATTTTAAATTAAAGTTAATATTAAGAGACTATACAGTATTCTGTTTGCTGATTTAAGAATATATTTCCCCAGATGTTCTTTTGCTGCACAGGATAATCGATAATTTATTAAATATCATTTAAGTATAAAATAAATAATTCCGACTCGAGTTATAGCAGTAGAAAAAAAATCAGCCGGTTCAGGAGGAACAACGACAGCAAAAAACTGTGTGACAGTCGGGAGAAGAGATAAAGGTAGGCTGTAATATAGCAACTTATTTAGCTGGACCATAATTGCCTTGTAGCAGCGATTTCCTTGAAGCGGCCACTAGCTCAAAATTGATTATATCAAGGCAGTTCATTTACGATGTGTCGAGTTGTTTCCGAAAAAAGCGGTTTATACAGCGTATTCGGGCATATCCTCCATTGATTTACGCATTTGTAGCTACAGTTGGCAGTCTCCCTCTACGAGAGGAGCTCTGATGTAATTCACATATTTCACCACAGGAGGGCGTTAATGTGCGTTTCGCTGACTGCAATTTTGTAATTTACAGATCTAAGAATATTTTTCTGCTTATAAAAAGCGGTTATATGGCAAATGTAATCAACATCTAGTAAATCATATGGTAATCAACAATTTATTAAATGATATTAAATCAATATAAAAAAATGTAATGCCAACTACGGCTCGAGTTATAACCTTAAAAAATAGCAGCAATGTAATTCACACAATTCACCACAGGAGGGCGGTGTTTGGTTAAGTTCCTTTGATTCTTACCTTTAAAATATATGTATTTTAACAAATCATACAATACAAGGAAATGCACAAGAGAATTATGTAATCCATACAAAAATATTTTATTAAAGTTAATATTAAGAGACTTTAGTCTTTTTACAGTATTACCGATTTAAGAATATATTTTAAAAATATATATATTAAATTAAATTAATCAACTCAGCAATGTAATTCGTTCAATTTACCACTGGAAGGCAGCTGAACTCTGCAGGCTCAAATTTATAAATATATTACATATATACAGAATATATTTTTACTAACCAATAATCAGTAAAATCACAGGGTAATCAACAATCAATTTAATAATATTAAATCGATGCAAAATTATCCTCTGGCTCGAGTTATAGCGCTAGGAACAAACAGCAGCAATGTAATTCACACAATTCACCACAGGAGGGCGCTTCCGCTGACTTTAATTTTTTAATATATTATAATATATTACAGATGAAGCCCTGTGATGGACCGGACTGGCCATGCGTCCAGCGTTTCTCCGTCTGCGGTCCAAGACATTGGACAGACTCCAGATCCTCTCGAGCCTACAGAGGACAAGCAGTTTGAAGAAGGGATGGGCAGGTGAAGATCTAATAATATATTTGTACTAAGAAAAATAAATTATTTACCAGATGCGTGTTTTTGTTGTTGTTTTATTTTGCTTCAGAGTGTAATCTATTTATCAATAAATGTTAAATCAGTGCAAAATAATTTAACGCAATGTTTACTTCTGGCTCGTTTTGTAGGCTAACAGTTATGTGTGTTTTAAAGTTGTGAAACAGAAAAATAATGCAAGTAAAGGATGTTCTGTGTGTCTTTTAAATGACTCTTAGTCTTAAATGAATAAATCATAAATCAGTTCAAAATGAAAACGTTACCGTGACTGATCTTAAATGAGCTTCACGGCTCGTCAAACATCAGAGCAGAAAGAAGCGCTTCAGTCAGGAGTTCCTGAGACTCTCTGAGGGCTTTGAGGATGTTTGGTAGTTACTGAGACTAACTAGTTGACAGACCAAGATCACATGAGGCTCATGAGCAGCCTAGTCACATGTAGCTTTTCTAAAGTGTCAGAGATGTGAGTGTCGCCCTCCTGTGGAGAATCCAGGTTCAAATGTTGTGTGCTTTAAATGATTAAAAGGAAGAAAAAAGGATCCACAGATAAGTGTGAATAGTTCTGACTGGCTGTTGATATTGCAATGCATTCTGGGTATATTCTTATGCTCTCACCCTCTTAGAGAAGTAAAGAGCATTTCACAAAAATAAAAAAAGAGTGCGGTTACAGTACCTAGTTTCAAATTATTCTCATTGGAAAGAAGTATTTTCTTGTTTGTCTCAGTAGCAGATCTTTCATAAAGCTTAACTGAAACCAATATTTTTGGTTAGCCGGATAATAACAGCTCTGGATTTTAAATTCAAAGTTCTTGCAATGTCAGTGACTATCAAGGACAGTAATTGAGTGTTTGTGATGGTGACAATCTTAATAAATATTTAAACGAAAGCACAAAGTCTTGAGGTTTAAACTACAAAAAAATCTAACCGATAGTAATAAATTCTAATGTAAAAGACCAAAAACCAAAATGTTTTCAACTCAGTCACTGTGGTACAGTGGATAATTGTTCACCTTTGGCTATGACATTACTGGATCAAATCCATTGTTTTATCACTTAAAATGAGATTCAAACAATATAAAACGTTGAAAACTACTAAAGCGCAGTGGTGCAGAGGCTGAACAAGTGACTTAACATCAACCTGCGCCAGAGACGTGTGTTCAGATGTCATGAATGATTTTTACTCAGTCTATGACCAGAAAAAAAACAAAAAACAAACCTCACAGCTTCTGTGGCTCAGTGGTTAAACGCTTCAATTGCACACATAAAAGTCTGGGTTCAAATCCCACAGTCATTAAAGTTATTCATCATTTAGAACAAATCAAAGCCACAGGCTCTGTGGCTCAGGAGATAAAGCTATGTGTTTTAATCCGGGAGATGTGGGTTCAAATCCCACTATTGCTTACTTTAAATCAATCACAGCCAACAAAGTCACTCAAACGCCAAAACACAACGAAGAATTCGTGATGGGTTAGTGGATGAACACACATTCTTTGAAGAATAAGCCCGTGACGGAGACAGTGAATCAAATCCCACCTCAAAAAAAATCCTCATGGGTTTAGAGGTTGCTGGTTCGATCCCAGCCAGGTCTCTGCGATATGAGTGAATGGTGGAGTGTGTGAAGGCGTGCCTGAAGAAGGGGGATATCAGTACGGTCTCCCCCTGGAGCTTCCAGCACCGTGACCCGCAGTGGTTATACCTTTGCACAGACTGAAAAAAATAAAGCTGCATAAAAATTCTCATCCCCCGTCCCTTCCCCATCTACTTAGGTTACCATCATTTGCTTTTCAAAGAGGAGGCCCTTCAAAAAGAAAATGCTGGTAACCTACATGTTTAGTGCACTAGAACACACATTCACACATGAGATACATTACCTGTCCCTGAGCAGATGTCCATCATTACAGTCAATGTCTGTCCACACGTCCCAGAGCTCTGCTTCAGCTGGACGAGTTTACAACCAACAAGACACCACTTATTCTGGAGAGACAAGACAGAAATACAGACATTATTAGACATACTGCATATCAAGACGAAAAACAGGTAATACAAATAGAAAAATATATTAATGTTGCATATTTATAAAACACTGCAATCTCTATTATACTTCTGTAATGCTGTATCAATCAGTTTCATTCAATCTACTGTTCGTTTCGGTTTAGTTCTGATGATGCTATTAATTAAATTGCTTTCTTGCAGGCCACAAAAAATACAATGGAAATGCCGAATAATAATAAAAAACAATCTTCCCATCCAAAACAATCCCTGATCAACAAAACATGAGAACAGGAATGTAGAAACATCGCGAGCAAATGATTCCCAATAAAAGCAATCCCAGAGTTTTTTTAAACAAATAAAACATGATTTTAATGGCTGTGCTCTTATTACGACAGTCAGAACTAGAATCATCAGAGCTTCACACAACACCTGCTGCAGGACCAACAGAGACAAACTTTACACTTTACAGTGTCAATATCAGGGCGATTCGAGCAGATTATAAACGAAACGCAACAACTACCGATTCATTTGCTAAACAGCGCGCGAGTCACTGAACAAGAGAAATTCGCTTTATGCGGAAAGTTACTTACAGGTGAGTCGCGTCACACTCGACTCCAGCGTTTCATCGGACCGTGTGTCGGATTATTTGCAGATTCGCTGAAAAACATGTTGTTAAAAGTGATATAAACAGCTGTCATCTGCAGGATCTGCACGTGTTGTTGTTGTGACTCTCGAGCGTCATGTTGTCAAGCAGCCGAAGGAGTCCGACTGAAGCTGAAACCCGCTTGCGCCGTCTAGTGGCTCGGAGGCAAAACTGCACTTCAGTTTATACAATTCTGCTATTCGTGGGAAATTGTTGATCTTGTTTATGTATTTTAACAAGAACAGAGAGAACAGAACAAATTCCTGTTTAAGTTCATTAGACTCAATTTGCAGCGGTGTAATTCACAAAAATCACCACAGGAGGGCCTGCTTTAGGTCCTCTGGCTTTTTTGCATGTCAGTTTATTTTAGTAGAAGAGGACAGAACAAAATCACACACAAACAATAACCTAAAATAGCAATGCACAAAAAATACCACAGGAGGGCGTTCATAAGACTCGGTTCAACTTCAGAGTAGTCTCATTAGTCATTCTGTGGTGATTTTTGTGAATTACAATCGAGTAAAATAATTTTAACCTGGTTTCTCCCTCCTGTGGTGATTTTTGTGAATCACAATCGAGTCTAATAATAATCTTAACTTGGTTTCGCCCTCCTGTGGTGATTTTTGTGAATTACACTGCTACAACTTATAATAAATGCTAATGTAAAAGACCAAAAACAGTGAATTCAACACAATCTCTGTGGTACGGTGGATTATTGTTCACCTTTTGGGTGTACTGGGTCAAATCTAGCAAGTTTTAAAGATACTTGTATCCCTTAAAATGAGATTTACACTACAAGCAAGATAAAACTATAGTAAACCATCTGTTTTGATTGAAGCACAGTGGTGCAGTGGCTAAACATAAGACTTTGACTCATGAAACTGCAACAGAGATGTGTTCACATATGAATTGAACGTCTTTTACTCAGCCTAAACTGACATTAAAATAAACTTAAAATCTAAATGACTGTAAAAACAACAACAGAGTAACATCACAGTTTCTGTGGCTCAGTGGTTGAAGGCTTTAATCTCAAACATGAAAGTCCTGGTTCAAACACTGTAATTCTTATTCAGAATTTAGAACAAATCTCTCAATAAAAGCCTGTTCGAAATGTTTATCATCCCCGCAGGCTCTGTGGCTCAGGAGATAAAGCTATGTGTTTTAATCCGGGAGATCTGAGTTCAAATCCCACTATTGCTTACTTTAAATCAATCTCAGCCAACAAAGTCACTCAAACCCCAAAACACAACGAAGAATTCATGATGGGTTAGTGGATGAACACACGTTCTTTGAGGAGGATGAGACTGTGATGGAGACGTGGGTTTAAATCCCACACAGAGCTTCCTTCAACATCTTTATTGGGAAATCACAGGTAAACAGTCAGATATAAGTTCCTTCATGTGCTCCAACAAGAGATCTGTGGCTCACAGGTAAGAGCGCTGCCTCACGGTTCAGAGGTTGCTGGTTTGATCCCAGCCAGGTCTCTGCGATACGAGTGAATGCTGGAGTGTGTGTGTGAAGGCGCGCCTGAAGAAGGGGGATATCAGTACGGTCTCCCCCTGGAGTTTCCAGCACCGTGACCCGCAGCGGTTATACTTTTGCACAGACTGAAAAAAAATATAAAGCTGCATAAAAATTCTCATCCCCCATCCCTTCCCTTCCCCATCTACTTAGGTTACCATCATTTGCTTTTCAAAGAGGAGGCCCTTCAAAAAGAAAATGCTGGTAACCTACATGTTTAGTGCACTAGAACACACATTCACACATGAGATACATTACCTGTCCCTGAGCAGATGTCCATCATTACAGTCAATGTCTGTCCACACGTCCCAGAGCTCTGCTTCAGCCGGACCAGTTTACAGCCAACAAGACATCACTTATTCTGGAGTCAAGACACAAATACAGACATTATCAGACATACTGCATCTAAAAAATCTCAAAATAAATTAAATAATAGTTAACAAATATAAACTAAGTACATGAACTGAATTCCTAAACAGTGTAAAAAGATTGCAGAGTATATTATATGTAAGCAATCCTGTACCTTTAATAATCTTTTAGTTCAATCTACTTTTCTCCCCAGCTTAGTTAATACGTTTTTAATTAAATAAATGTGCATATACATTCACACATTCAAAAGAGGCAAACAGCACGATTCTTTATTATTCCACTTTATAATATATAACATTCATTTAAAGATGATAAAGGAAGCGCAACTGAATCCTTTGTTATTCTGAAGGTCTGACAGGTTCAGCAGAAAAACAGCAAAGTCCTTCATAGAAGATGTGAGTGTCTGAATACATTGCTAGCTGTTCAATAACAAACACAGTTTAAACAACATCATTTTAGGTTAAAGACCTCATCGAAATTCATCTTTTTTCCAAGGCTTTAGTTCCGAGTGTTTTCGCTCTGTAGTGTCCGTTGAATTCATCACTACATGAATCTAAATGAACTGACAAAGCTGCCCTGCTCTGGCATTTCTTACTCACACTCACAGAAACTGAAACAAACACTTTCAGAAAGTTACTTACAGGTGAGTCGCGTGACACTCAGTTTTATCAGACTGTGTCGGTTTTGTTTGCAGTTGAGCTGAAAGATGTGCTTTCAACGTGACATTAACAGCTTTTTAGACTAAATCATCTGCAGGATCTGCACGTGTTGTTGTTGTTGTGACTCTCAAGCGTCATGTTGTCAAGCAGCCGAAGGAGTCAGACTGAAGCTGAAACCCGCTTGCGCCGTCTAGTGGCGAGGATGAAAAATGTAAACTAAATTCTAAACTAAACTGTTAATCAATCCTGTCATGTAGTGTCATATATGTTATATAGTGAGTGTATGTATGTAGTATGTACACACACACACACACACACACACACACACACACACAGTGACATAAAACTGTTACTGTGTCATCCAATCATTTATTATCTTATGAAACAAGAAAAACATTACCTTTTAGTAGAAATAATATCTTAGCTCTTTAAGCTGAGTAAAAAAAAACTTATATAACTTATATAACCTAATAGATATATTTAAGAAAAAACTTTCAGAGGAACTTGACTGAATGTGTATGTGTAATTATGTGTATTACACTAAGATATTTATAAGTAGATACGTTTTTTTTCTACCCCAAGCCAAAATAAAGCCTTGATTCATTGCATTGATTCAAAATTGTGTCCCTCTAGAACAGGGCATAATGTTAGAATAATCTAAAACGTGATCAACTGAAAAAAGGAGTATTAATTTGTTATTAGTAAATATAGAAATTGCAACAACAAACACATATAGTCACTGGGGCTGTCAATCTTCAAAATGGTTACAAATAATTTATATGTGGGTCATCAGAAAGAACTTTTCAAACTTGGAAAATGCATTGCGCACCTACAAAGTGTGGGAAGAGAACATTACTGAACATTGGTTGTGCAGACAAAACAATGTATCTAATGTACATTTTCCCATTTACAATTTGCCTAAAAGATGGCTTTTGGTTACAAACAAATGACAACTAATGTATATAAAAACAACATATGGTGTGTCTTTAGATTGGTGGAAAGCTGTTCATTATTATAGCTGTTAAAACATACAAGCAGGACATGATTATAAAAAAAATATACACCACATAAAGCTGACATGCTTTAATATTTTAATGACTTAAGAATTACCCATGCGATATTAATTTGTTTTTCAATCACATTCAGTATTGCCAATGATATCCCTTGGGTGAATTTGCCAATGTAGCACTTTCAACTACAGTAGTAACATTAATACTAACATTTAAAAACATATAGCTTGTAAAATGTTCAAAAATAAAGTATTTGTATTATATATTAAAATGTTATGGTATTATATTTTATTTACGGAACATAATATTTGAATTTGAATTTCCATTAACTTTCTAAACAGCTGGAATAAAAAATTAGAAAGCTGTTTTTTTTTTCCACCAATAACCTGTGGAAATGTCAAAAAATATTCTACATTTTAAATGAAACATCTCATTACAACTACAATTTCAATACAATAACAATATATTATCCAGCAAGTCAGTTACATTTTCTTGCAGGCTTCTTTTTCTGGGAGACCTCTTGGAAGACTTTTCCATCTTTCTGAGTTTTCCAAGTCAGTGAGAAAGGTCCGCTTATATGCAGCTGCTTCTCCATCTATGAGATTCAAGTGAATGTAAATACAGAGAATCAATTGTAACATGAACAGCCAGAAGATGTTTGCAGCTCATTGTTACTCTTGTCAGTGCTCTCACCTCCTCTGAGAGTTTACTCATGGTTTTGTGAACGTTTGGGTCGAACATGGGGTCGGTCTTTACCTCAATCCTCAACAGGACTTTAACACTTGTGTCTAAGCCCTGGACAGACCCTCTGTTTGTGGAATAGGGCTCTAAAGAGCAGTGTTAAAGAGGTAAAATTAAATATTTCTGTATAATAAATCATTACAATTATTTGTTATATTTATTCTTTTATAATTTTTTATTAATGAAAATATATTACACAAATACATAAATATTATATAAAATAATATTACTTTAGTTTCTTCAAGCACACAATTCAAGTGTAAAAATAAATACACTTAATTTGTGTAAAAACAAATTATAGGAAGGAAGAGCAAAACCTCAACAATCAACAATTTAGTTTACTGATGTAGAATTTATTTCTATAATGCCATATAGATTTGCACACAAAAACACATCAGCTTTACTTCAATTATTGCAAGATATTTTTAAATATGAATATGTAAATATTCAAATTCGATTGGCACTCACCACTGCAGATGACTCCAGCATCGTGCAGGTGATCGAGGTTGTTGTGCTGCCAGTGATCTATGTTACATTGTATCAATGAAGACTCTTTCCCTACACAGTCAACAGAATTCATCCATACTGGGCCAGATCCCTGTCCAAAATAAGCACCACCTTTTGCCTTTATAACATCTCCACAGCCCAGTTCTCTACAAACCACTGCAGCATCTGTTAGATTCCAGCCATCATCAGATACTGTTCCCCACTGACCGTCATGAAGAACCTCCACTCGTCCAGAACAAGAGCTATTACCATTCACCAGCCTGACAGGGACTAATGGCAACACCGATGAAAAGAACAAAAAACATGAAAAACTTTCATGATTTGTTGATAGTAAAAGAACCTTCTCAAATGTATGAGCAAATAATGACACAATTTTGTTTTAACTTTAACATGAATTTACAATTTTCAACTCACGGCCACATATGACTCCAGCGTGCTCTGCAAAAAAACAGTTATGTGTTCCCCATCCCTGAATTGCACAGGTGCTCAGAGCTGCCTCTTCTCCATTGCAGTTTACATTGCCCATCCATATTTGTCCTGATGTGGCTCCAAAATAAGCACCATATGTTAATACTTTAATATTCCCACAGCCCATCTCTTTACATACCACTGCGCCATCTGATCCATCCCATTTATAATCACACACGGTTCCCCATGTTCCATTATGGAGAACCTCCACTCTTCCAGAACAATCGTCAAAGCCTTCTACCAGCCTCATAACAGCTAATGACCATGCAGAAGAAAACAAACGACACAGCAAGCAATTACAATCATATTGATTGTTGTTTACTTACTGGATTCTAAATCCAGTTAGAAATACAATACAAAAAGCTATGGAAGCCCATTTCTGCCAAGGAATAAAAAATAAAAAAATGATTGTGATTGACAGACTTTTTTTCCTCACAATTTTTACTTTTTCTTGCAATTCTGAGTTTAAATCTCACAATTCTGTTTTTTTTCTCAGAACTGCGATATAAAGTTGCAATTATGAGGGGAAAAAAATCTGACCTTTTTTCTCGCAATATCTCACAATTCTATTAATTTTGAGTTGAATTTTTTTGTATTGTATCTCACAATTCTGACTTTTTTCCCCCTCAACATTTCAGGTTTATATCTCGCAATTCTGCATTTATATGTCACAATTCTGAGTTTCTACCTCGCAATTCTTTTTTTCTCAGAATTGCAAGAAAAAAGTCAGACTTGTGAGATAAAAAAGTTGCTATTTTAATTTACACTGACTTACACTGACAGATGACTCCAACATCCTCGGAATGATTGCAGTCATTCAATTCCAATTCATGATATTCACATTTGCTCAATGCAGACTCATTTCCAGAGCAGTTTACATTATCCATCCATATTTGTCCTGAACCTTCTCCAAAATAAGCAGAACTCTTCACCTCGATGGCATCCCCACAGCCTATCTCTCTACACACCACTGCAGCTTCAGACAGATCCCAGCCATCATCACACACTGTTCCCCACGTCCCATTATAAAGAACCTGCACTCGTCCGGAACAAGAGTTTATGCCACTCACCAGCCTGGTTCTGGCTGATCAGACACATGAATAAGAAACAAAAAGAGCATGAAAACTTTGAGCACATGGTATGCGGTTAAACTGTAAAAGGTTTTGTACTCACTCTGACAGATGACTCCAGCATACTTGTCAAGAAGGCACATGTTTTGTCCCCATTTGTCCGCTTCACCCACTGGACATTCTGTCAGTGAGGACTCGTTCCCGAAACATTTCACCTTAGTCAACCATATTTGTCCTGAGCTCTTCCCAAAATATTCCGCTAACTTCACCTCTTTCGCTTCCCCACAGCCCAACTCACTACACACGACATTTGCGTCTAACAAATCCCAGCCATTGTAACACACCGTTCCCCATATTCCATCGTGGAAAACCTGCACTCTTCCCGAACAAGAGCTGCTGCCGTCAACGAGTCTGACTGAAGAAGCCTCGCCTGACGTGGAATTTCCCAAAACTGCTTGGCATGAGAGAAAAAACATTGAGAATCACAATTATATTATGCAATATGCAGGGCGAAAATAAGCTGCTTATAAGTATGAGCTGTGTTTGAGCTCTTACTTTGAATTAAAATGAGCCATATGGTACACAGCTGCGCTGCTGTAAAGAAACTATAAGAAAGATGATCATGCTAAAAGATATGTCTGAGTAATTGAGAGCAACAATAGCTTATTTCAATAAATAATGTTACTTTTAACATTACCCTGATTAATATAATAAAACAAGAAGATAACTATAGTTTCTGTAAGAATTTACTTAAAGCCTTTAGGCTAATGCATTATGAAATATTTTTAATGCCTTGTAATGTACCTTACTATGCATTGTATGATCTTGAACAATTATAACCACATTAATAATACATTATAATACCTATTGTATGTTACACCTTTAGAAAGTATATTTCATTAAAATAGATGACAAACAACCAATTTCAGAAGGAACAAGGAACCTGCAAATATTAGGCTATAATACATTTTAACTTTGGTTACAATTATTTATGAGAAGATAAAAGATATTATAACATACATTATAAATACCTTTATAATGGTTTATAAAGGTCTTATATTACATAAAGGCTTTAGGTGTTACCAAAATTTCTTATTTAGACTTCCTTATAAAGCCATAAATATAAATGTAAATCCTAAAATCCTTCTTCTAGGCTATATGTTTAAAAATACTTATAAGGAGGATATTACAAATCATTACCATTTTTCTAATTCTATTGTCTACTTGAAAATTTGCAGTGAATCATACCTCAAAGCAATCATACTTTGAGATGGAACAAATTAATAAACATTTACATTTATTAATTTAGCAGACAAATAGAAATAGTAAAATAAAGACAGGAAGTTCAAAATATGGCTAAGGGGTTCAAACCTTTTGAAGTGTCCCATGTATACTGCTGTTTTCCTTCTGGATCTGAAATATAAGTTTGTATGTTGGAGATTTAGTGTGCATTTATCTAGAGGTACAACCTCCAGCCCACCTGTCTCCTCCTTTCAGATGACCCTGACAAATAATCTCACCTTTTTAGGGTATTATTTTACATATATTTGCATTATAAATCACATATGCAACAGGTGTAGAAGTCAGCAAATTGCACTTTAGAAGAAAGCCATGACCTATGCAAACAGGTTAGACATAAACGAAAATATAAGGCAATGATAGTCAACTTGTTTTTGTCTTTCATAATGCTGGGTTTTAAGGGGCACCAATCAAGGTCATTGTCATTGTTTGGAACTGACTGAATTGTTTAAAGTAACCAAAAAGTTTAATTCTGCTCGAACTTTTGCAAACAAATAACAATGGCATCAAACAGAAGGCTGTTCATTTTTTCCATTTTGTTTGGTTGTTCAAATGAGTTTTTCCTCCCTAATTACTCTGACAGGCCCCATTAACAGGATGCAAACTGTGAACCTTTTGAATATTTACCTTCCACAAATAATCCTGTATTATTTAGGGCCAAACAAGTACCATAATAAGACTTGTTTGCTTTATTCCATGCATTCTTAAGCCATTCCATGTTTCAAAATAAATTTTTGGCTTTATGCTATTATGCACAGTCAGGCCTTCACCCTGTTTTTGAATTGGGATAGGTTGCTTTTCCTGCTAAATACATGCACGTGTCTGTCTCAGATCATTACCCATTGCAAATGGTTTACAAAACTTTTAAGTATCCTGAAAATACTTTGGAGAAACCGGCTCACCAACTACAAGCCCAGATGCTTTTGTCATGGTTAAAAATATTTATTTATGTTTCAAAAACTAAGCAACTGAATTACCTAAATATGGTAAAATGGTACCATACCTACATTAACAAGTTAACAGTCTTCACAACGTGAATACTTTTTAAGCATAAGTATTTTTTTCTATAAAACAAGACAAAAATACTGAAATTGTGACCACAAAGACTACAAAGACAACATCCAGAAATTCTTTAATCACACTTTATTTATGTTTATTATGCAACTATATATATCGTATGTAAATGGAATTGAATTAAATGAAATTATTATTAAGCATACTGTTATAATATTTTCATTAATTTAGCTCCAGACAGGTTTATATTGAAAATATATGTACAATATTGGCTATTACATTGATTACAAAATATATTAAATTGAAATTTAGCAAGTTAGGATGTGACCCAAAGATACTTTATCAGTATCAAAACACTGTCAGTATCTAAACACAAATATTACGCTTACATTGTCATTAGAAAAAAAAATACAAGGATATTATAAAGCATTGTCATTGGAAAAATATGTAAGATAATTATTAATTTCATTTACAAAGGTCAGACTGAAAGAAGGATGAAGCGATCAATGTCCTATTAGATAGTGTTAGCTTGTTTTCTTCTCTGTATTCCAGAAATGACCTTAGGAACCAACACCACTGTACATTGTTATTGTGGAAAATATTAAATTAAAGATTTAAACTTTAGTTTTAAAGCTAAGGTTAATGTCTTACTAATTCATCAGGGTGAAGCCCCTATTCTCTTATGGAAGATATTTCCATCGGTCTGAGTTTTCAGTGAGAAAGTCCCATTTATTCGTAGCTTCTTCCCAATCTATGAGAATCAAATGAATGTAAATACAGAGAACAGAATAATAACACAAACAGCCAGTAGATGACAGCAAAAAGTAGTGAAAGATACAGCTCAATGTCACTCGTTCCACTACTCTTACCTCTTCTGAAAGTTTATTTATGATTCCAGCAGTGTTTGGGTCAACTCCAAGGTTAGCCTTCACTTCAACCCTCAACAGGACTTTAACAGCTGAGTGAATGTGAGAAAGTGTGAAAAATTAGATTTCTTGCTCAAATGCACCAGTATAACAAACTTTTTTTCACGTGGATGTAGGCTTTAAAGAGCATCCATTGTTCTTTAAAGCCTACAAGTTACCAGCATATTTGAGCATGAAATTTCATGGGCATTTGGGGTATTTTTTGGTACCAAAATCATCAAATCAAAAGTCATCAATGTCTCCATGAAGAAAACACAATGCTGTATTACCTCACTAACTAAAATGAAAGCATTGGCACTTACATCCACAAATGACTCCAGCATCTTTCTCATGGTCACATCTGTTTGGAGTTGCATTATATGAACAGCTCATCAATGTAGCCTCATTCCCAAAACAGTTTATATTATTCATCCAAATTGGTCCTGAACCCTTTCCAAAATAAGCCGCATTCTTTACTTCCAAAACTGTTCCACAGCCCAGTTGTCTACACACCACTGCAGCATCTGATGCATCCCATCCATCATCACACACTGTTCCCCACTGACCGGAACGAAGAACCTCCACTCGTCCATAACAGGAGTTGGTGCTGTTGACCAGCCTAACGTTATCTATTGATCACACAATAGAAGAAAGTTTATATATATAATGATAGTTTGACCATAAAGCACATATACAATCACTTCAGTCCTATACTGACTACATCGTTTGCTGTTAAAAGGTTTGCACTCACCCTTACAGATGACTCCTGCATCTTTCTCATGTCCACAAGTGCCTCTTCCCCATCCACTTGATTTACAACCTCTTAGTCTTGAGTCAGTGTCAGAACATTGTAAATCACTTATCCATACAGGCCCTGATCCCTGACCGAAATGAGCAGAGCTCTTCGCCTCGATCACATCCCCACAGCCCATCTCTCTACACACCGCTGCAGCATCTGATAGATCCCAGCCATTATCACACACTGTTCCCCATATTCCATTATAAACAACCTCCACTCTTCCAAAGCAAGAGTTGTGTCCATTAATGAGCCTGAGAGAAGCTAACAGCCACATAAATGAAAGTAAAAGAAACACATTAACTACTTAAAAACAATGTTTTCTCCATTTACAATGACTATTCATTGACTGTCTTCTTTTGTAGGTCAAAGTCCCACACATGGCTGCATTAAAGAAATGTTTCACCCAAAAATGGAATTTTGCTAAAAATTTACTCACCCTCAGGCCATCCAATATGTAGACGAGTTTGTTTCTTCATTAGAACCAGTTTAGATACCACTTGCTCACCAATGGATCCTCTGCACTGAATGGGTGCCATCAGAATGAGAGTCCAAACAGTTGATAAAAACATCACAATAATCCACAAGTAATCCACACAACTCCAGTCCATCAATTAATGTCTTGTAAAGCAAAAAGCTGGATGTTTGTAAGAAACAAGTAAACCATTAAAATGTTTAGAATTTTAAAACCAGAATTCATAATATTGCTTTCTCCAGTGAAAAAGTAATGTCTTCTGAATGAGGAGAGAAATATGCAAAGATCAAGCACCATTTACAAGTGAAAACAGTTCTAAACAAAGATGTCTGTGGATTTTGATGTGAGTGGACAACAGGGGATGGACTTTTTCCACTGGAGGAAGTGTTATTATGGATTCTGGACTCACATTTTGTCCAGACTTGTGTATTATTGTGATGTTTTTATCAGCTGAACTCTCATTCTGACGGCACCCATTCACTGCAGAGTTCTCCACATCTGTTCTGATGAAGAAACAAACTCATCTACATTTTAGATGACCTGGGGGTAAGTAAATTTTCAGCAAACTTTCATTTTTGAGTGAATTATTCCTTTAATCACTATTTTTTTACATGCATTAAAATGAAAGAGACAGTGTAGAAAACTAGATTTCACTTACGGTCACAGATGACTCCAGCATCCTTTGAATGGTCATACATTCCTTTTCTACGTGATTCACAAGCACTGAGTATGGTCTCATTTCCAAGACAGTTTACACTGCCCATAAATATTTGTCCTGCACCTTGTCCAAAATAAGCACCACCTATTGCCTCTATAGCATCTCCACAACCCATCTCTCTACACACCACTGCAGCATCTGTTAGATCCCAGCCATCATCAAACACGGTTCCCCACTGACCATCACGAAAAACCTCCACTCGTCCAGAACAAGTGGAGATGCCATTCACCAGTCTGATGTTAACTAATGCCCACAAAAATGTATTACCAGTGGACAAAATATGATAAAAGTTTATACTGATAATTATTTGGTTTTGTACTCACGTTGACAAGCGACTCCAGCATCCTTCTCATGTCCACAGCTGTTTTGCCCCCATCCCTTTGAATTACAGTTTCTCAGAGTAGAGTAACTGGCACACTGTAAATCACTTAGCCATACGAGTCCAGATCCTTGTCCAAAATAAGCACCACTCTTTGCCTCAATAGCATCCCCACAGCCCATCTCTCTGCACACCACTGCAGCATCTGACTGATCCCAGCCATCATCACACACTGTTCCCCACTGGCCATCAAAGAAAACTTCAACTCGTCCAGAGCAAGAGTTAGTGCCATTCACCAGCTTAACAAGAGCTAATGGCCAGACAGATGAAAGATTAAGAAACAAGCTGTTAAAAAAATATTAGGATAGTTTACCTAAATATAGAACAGAATCTTTATTCTATTTTCCCCCACAAATTTAATGCAATGTCATCATAAACATAATAATGGACCTGTAGCAGCCTGGGGTTAAATGATGACAAAAGTTTTTAATTTTTGATTGAACTACTATTCACTGACAATATTTTCTTTTCAGTATTCTTACATGAATGGCAATAGAGCAACTTACATTGACAGATAACACCAGCATCCTTGTAATGCAACTGGAAATCTTCTATTTGTTTGGACTCACAGGCAGCAAGTGTGAGCTCATTGCCAATGCAGTTGACATCATCCAACCATACTGGATACCAGTGCGGTCCCTGCCCGAAATAAGCAGCACCCTTTGCCGCTATAGCATCCCCACATCCCATCTCCCTACACACCACTGCAGCCTCTGATAGATCCCAGTTATCACCACACACAGTTCCCCAATTAGTGTTTCCCCAGCGATTAAAAATCTCCACTCTTCCAGAGCAAGCACTGAAGCCATTTTCCAGCTTAATTCTGCCTGAATAACGACATAATGAGAGCTGTTGTCAGTGGATTATATCTGATGCGCTTTCTCAATTTCATATAAAATAAGATTTGTGAGTCAAGAAATATTCTGGATAATTTACAACAAATTTTTATGCACAGCATTTGTGGCATGATGTAAATGAACCAAATTCTATCCACTCGAATTATGTTGCTATTATTCATTTATTTACAGAATAATTCATGTAAGTGATTTAACAAAAATATAAGCTTGCCTGCTTGGTGTCGTGAAAACGTAAAAAGAAAATAGTAAAAAAAGAAAAATAATTTTCTGTGGTAATCAACTGCATGCCACAAATGCTGCACGTCACCCTTAAAATTTTGTGTAAAAGATTTTATACTCACCTTTACAGGCGACTGTAGCATCCTTCTCATGTCCACACGAGTTTTGTCCCCATCCCTGAAAATTACAGTGTCTCAGATTCATTTCAGAGTTATAACATTGTACATCATTCAGCCATACTGGTCCTAATCCCTGGCCAAAAAAACCACCGATCCTTTGCTCGAAAACATTCCCACAGCCCATTTCTTTACATATTACTGCAGCATCTGAATAATCCCAGCCATTATCGCACACTGTTCCCCACTGACCGCCATTGAAAACCTCCACTCGTCCAGAACAGGAGTGACTGCCATTCACCAATCTGACAAGGGCTAATGTCCACACAGAGCAGACATCAGAATCAGAAAAAATTATTAATTGCATACAGAAACATAACAGCCTTTATTTCAAGTGAAATACCAGCAACTTACAGCGACAGATGACTCCAGCATCTTTTGAATGGTCACAGTAAAACTCTCCCGCTTTCTTAGAGCTGCAACTGCTCAACGTAGGCTCATTTTCAACACACCCAATATCGTTCATTGATACTTGTCCCCCACCTGGTCTGAAATAAGCACCACTCTTTGCCTCAATAGCATCCCCACAGCCCATCTCTCTACACACCACTGCTGCATCTGATAGATCCCAGCCATCATCACACACTGTTCCCCACTGATTGTTATAGAAAACCTCCAATCTTCCAGAACAAGAGTTGTTGCCATTTACCAGTCTGACTGATTCGGACGTACTTGAAATGGTATTGCCTAGAACTTCATGTTACAGAAAAAATTAAAAAAAAAAGTAAAAAACACTGGCATTGTCTGTAAAAATATGCTTGTTTGTGTTAGTATTGATACTTACTCAGAAATAGAATGAGCAACATTGTAGCTTGTCACTAAATATATGGACACCACTGGATTTGACTGGAAAATTGCAAACAATTTCCACTCCTACAAATCTTTATAACACAAAATGATATAAACCAGTCATTAATATTAATGTTGACACCAGCATGAAATACAAAAATAGATGCTATGTTATATTATCAAAATCCATATGCACAAAAAACAATCACTAAAATTGTATTTTTGAAATTCAATTTTGAAACTCACCTGCAATGTTCACTTCTGCTTTTGTTTTTCTGTCCCTAAATTAGCAGGTCCACTCTTGTTAAAGCACATGATTAGAATCAGGCATATTTAAATGTTGAGGTTGCCTCCTACTCCATGTTAGGACATAGATTTGAGATTGAGGTTGAGGTTGGTTAAATCTGTTTGGCTCTGGTTCCTCCCACTGACTTCAACAAAACCTTTTTACTACAAGTCCAAGAAGGTGAAATCAAATGTGTCTCACAAATAAGCATGGCATAAAAAAGCAAAAGCATTTAAGGTTCATATAGTACATAAGTACATTCCTGAAGCAAATTTGGGGTACACATATATTTCTTTGAAACATAGCATATAGTCATTCATTTTATATTTTGCAACTGCCCGGCTGAAATGAAGCGTGTCTCATGCATCATGCTGCTTTGAGTACTATTCTAATTGCATCTAAAATCTCTTAGATTTGCTTTACTAAGTAAGTAACTTTGCATTCAGTCTTCAATTTGACCACTAATCCCTCATGATCCCCAGGTCTTAAATTTCACTTGTGCTAATGCAGTATTTTAATCTGTCCTTTTACAGAGAATCTATATAGAAAGGCCAGGAATTTTTTCATGTTATAGTTTTTAGGCAAATTATAGTCTGATTTAATAACCAAATTTTTATTTAACTAATGACCACTGAGATCTTAAAATTGTACATTCTTGTAATACATGCAAAAGAGCTTCATCAGTAGTGACTTCAGTTACTCAGCTATTATTGTGAAGACTGTTGTTTTGTTTATGGAGAGATTACGGCATAATCTGCTCGTAAAATAGTATTATACGACAACTACTCTAATAAATGTGAATGTAAAATTCTCCTTTTGTGTCTCTTTTTGTCCCAGTAAGGTGCTGATTCCACATACTCAAAACATGTGTTATGCACCTGACAAATATTAAATCTGAGATGTAGCCATTTTGACTTTTGCAATTCCTAAAACACATTGCTTTACTGTGATATTATTATTAAAATTATTAAAAGTAGTTTAAGACAGACAGTTATATTGACTGCTGTGAAATAAGTTCCAGATCTTTTTAATCCATTCATCCATTCAACTGTATATTTGCCTTGAATATTATTGAAGCATATCCAGTGTGAAATCCATGGCTCACACTAATTAGCTGCTTTGAATATTATTCAAATAACATTTAGGGGTTTTAGAACAATTTGCTTTACTGAATAAATAATGCAAATAAATTTGAATCACAAAAACTATAATGTCTTCAGTCTTTCAGTTTTAGGCTACACATGTATGTGTAATCATGTTCATCTTTTGTTATATCAGAAATGTACATACAGAACTCTTACGGCTAGGCAGTTGTATACTGTTACTAGAATCACAGTGTTCGGATGAAGTTAATGATTAAACTTATCTCAATGACATTTAGATCTCATTTTGTAATGTGGAGTCCAACTACTTGTGAATAATGGCCTAATGTAAAATTGTGAACAGCAAGAGGCAAAAAACAAACAAACATACAAACATGATATTAAGACTAAATTTATTATAGAAAATATTGTAAATAAATTTAAAAAAAGAACGTTTAAACAAAATCAAGTGAACTGACTGACTGATTTGTGGCTAAATCTATTTGCTTTTATTTATCAGTTTTTAATTAAATATGCCTCTCACAAAATCACAAAATGTATAGTATGGAAGACCTTAGAAGACTTTCACAGACTACTTTTATAGTGCTTTTTGGAGCTTGACAATATAAGCAAGGCAACCACTTTCACTGTAGCCTATGCAAAACAACAGCTTGGACATTCTGTTAAACTTCTACTTTGTGTTTTGAAAAACGTGGAAGCTAGTAAAATTTAGGGTGAAATTAAGTGATAAATGCATAATTAAAGAGTTTGTATGTGTGCACAAGATACTCCTTGTTTTTCAAACTCAGACAGGCCTGCTAAGCTGAACATCTGAATCTTCATTGATCAGATAATTGCAGAATTAACTGAGGTGAAATTAAAATATGAACAATTTAACCAGTTTCTAAATGTCATAGTAATAAAATATTTTTATTAAATTATAAAAAAGTATGCCTCATTTATTGTACCTATTGACATATGGCCATTTCTGCATTATCTGACCAGGAGTGCTGTGTGTTGCTCAGCCTCCCTCAACACTAACATACCTGATCAATACAGAGAAACTCAAAAGAGAATGTTCTACATTTTCTCTGGCTTTCTTTCTGTATTGGATTGGGCTGTGATGTTTGGGAGGCTTTATTAGGATGATCATGTGACACAGATCGTTCTGGCCCATGCAGGAGGTTTACTGTTATATGGAATCTGGTGAGTATCAGCTGCTGCTTTTCTTTTAGTGTTCTCCTTAACTTCCTGTCCCTTAATGCTGTCGCCATCAGCTTGGACTGACCCATTTCCTGCTGACCATACTGGACGCTCCAGATCCGCACTGACCGAATAAGGGTTCTCCAAAACTTTAAGCAGCTGTTGAACCTGAAAAGTTTTTTTTTTAGATGAATACACCACAAAATGTCATTGTTTAAATTATTGCATTTCAATCATGACCTCTGACCTCTGAAAAATCACACCCCTTTCAGCTGCTTCAATTGCATTCTGGGCAATGTAATTCCGCAGTACAACAGCAGGATTGGTGGAGTTCATGGATCTGACCCGTTCTTTCTCTACTGCAGCAGGGTCACTCACTTCGTCACATTCATGAGCCAGACGTCTCCTAACGTGGTGACCATAAATATCAAAAGCTTTGGACTTTCAATTCATGGTAATTTAATAAGTCATTAAAACTTGTATATTCATTTATATTTATTTATTAACAAAATAAGAATTTGTACCTAGTATACATGAAAATAAAGAGCTTGAATCTTGAATATGTATTTATACCTGTATTGTTTGACCCATCTCTGCCAATGATCTCTCTGCTTTATTTTTAGCTCCACTTCATTGATTACGAGAAGGTCCTTCAGCCTGCCAATCTTCTCCAGTTGCTTGGTGACCTCTGGCTGATTGGTTACCATGTTGAACATACCTGGATTTGTCTCAGCCATGGAGAGAATCATCTCAACTCACTAAGAATGGACACAGAGGTACAACAAATGAAAGAAAATAAGGAAAACATAGTATAGGTGTTAAGTATCTCCAAACCTCCTTTTTACTTTTGAACATAAGAAATTATGAGGGGTCTCAACCATGGTTCAACAATCACAGTTACTGTAACTAAAACTAAAACCATAAAAATTTTCTTTACTTGAAATAAACGTTAACTGAAATCAAATAAAATAATTTAAGCTAGTTAAAAGGCAACATTTCTCATATTAATTTAGTTCAACTTGATATACTAAAATAACTAAAACCGAAAAAAAAAAAGAATAAAAAACAATATATGCATACATTAAAAAAAAAAAAAACATTAAAGATGACAATTTTACTAAAAATAATATTTAAATGAAAAGTAAAATGAAAATAAAAACTGATTAAAAGTATTACTAAAAACTCTCATAATATTTCAATGATAGTAAATTGCACTGGTCTTAATAAATAAATAAACTTAGGACATAATGAATAAGAAATACTAGGGCATACAAATAACAAATAATTGTGACAAGTAATTGTGCATAAATATTTTTACACTCAGTGACACTCAGTTTTACCTGTTTAGAGCTCATAATGCTTTTTCAGCTCCGTTTTAAAAGTAGCTAGAGACAAACCAATGCAAATTAATTCAGACAACATACCAATTCTCTTGCCTTGTCTTTCTTGCAACGTGCTGACAGCATCACATTAAGAGAAGAATGCAGAGTACAGGGAAACGAAATTTTGGTCACTTTTGCTCAAAACAATAGATTCTTGCACTTCACAGTCTGAAAATAAAAATTAATTGTCAATATGCATAAACTGGTGAAAAATACATTAAATTGTTTATTAGTATGAAGATTAGACCCTGAGAGGGTGCAGATCCCCTCACCCGGGCTGCATTGTAGGATGATTGGCCACCTTTAGTTCTTCCAGCGAGGCACACTGTTCCACGATCAGTTCCACTACTGAGTCTGTGCTGTCCCTGTCTTTCTGTTCACCTGCAGGACAGGACACGGCACTCAGCAGACGAAATGTGTTTGTGAAGTCTGCACCTGGAGCAGCGATAGATGAAAATATTAGGTAAGTAATTTGTTTTTGAGTAATCTGAGTCAACTTCCATCCAACTTTCCATTTTTATTCAACAGAAAGCCGGAAATATCTCCTCACTCTCACTATACCTGTGATGTGCATAGTCTTCAATAAATCAGCCACCAGCTCCACATCCTCTGGTTCTTGTTGTCTCAGAAGACCCAGCTTCCTCCTCATGATGTCCAGGTAGCAGTCCTGATAAATGGTCATGAACTCATCTAAAATGGCCCCTGCTTTGGCTGACTGGAGCTCCGTGCCAAGAGCTTCTGCCAAACGTGCCAAGTTCCAGCGGCAGACATATGGCTGAGCTTCATAAGAATAACGGCCTTTCTTATCAGAGGCATTGCTCACAAACTCAGGGTCAAACCTGCAAATAACAACAATGTAGGTTTTTAGAATACACTAATAGACCAAGCAATTAGTAAAAGCACAACTTCTTTCAGGATGTAATTCGGTTGCATTTACTGCATTTTTGTGCAATTTAAAGCACAGTTTCTGTAGAGCTAAACAAACCTGTCCATGAAGCCAAATGGGCCATAGTCTATAGTGAGTCCCAAGATGCTCATGTTGTCTGTGTTGAGAACTCCATGGCAAAATCCCACACTTTGCCACAGGGCAACCAGTTTGGCAGTCCTCACGGTCGCCTTGCAGTTCCACAGAATATAAAATAATATAAAAATAAGGTTTTTATAGTGGGAAAAGGTTCTTTTGATTATTAAAATGTTCTACACACTAATAAAATAAGGTTCTATTATGAACTATTCACTGAAAGGTTCTTTAGGGAACCAAAATGGTTCTTCTATGGTATTGCTGTGAAAACCCCTTTTTGGAATGTCTATTTTTAAGAGAGTACATACAAATTCTTGTTTTAAGGTTATAGTGATAAAGTGAAGCTTGTTTTTAAAATGTATATTATTGTTAAAACCTCTCTGAAGAAGGAAGCATTCCTCTCTTGGCGATCTAAATGTCTTCGTTGTATTTCAGGGTAGAATGTTTCAATGACATAATCCAGAAGTTGTGCACGAATATCAGTACGTCCAACACTAGGGCCATGTCTACCTGTGAAGTCATCCACAGGGTGGAAGATCTCAAATGAGCCAAATCTGGTGAGAAATATAGAGAGAGTTATGAGTCAGGGTACAGTGCTAACATTCAGTACAATTTAATGAAACTAAAAGTGCAGACCAATTTCAGTAGATCTCATAATTCAGAGCCAAAAAATGTTTTTAGGGATATATTCAAATGGTAGATGGCAGTATTTAGGTATTAAGACTTTATTCTGTATACTCTAAAATACTTGGACTAGCTTGGACATGAGTAACATCTAAAAAAGGCCTTGTGAGAGATCTATCACATCTCAGTGTGGACCTGCAGTACCCTTAAACAGCTTCTCTACATTCTTTGCTGACACTAAACCCAGTATTAAGGCTGTACAATTCAATAAATAGTTTCTTTATTTAGCAAACTTCAGGATTTTGAAATTCATTTTTACAAAATTCATTTTTACAACTTGGGATTATGGAAACGTAATGTGAGAAATTAATTTCTATGTGTGTCTGAGGATAGATATAAATAGAATTGCTCAACCTGATAAAGGTGGGTGCTATTCTGAGAACCACTGAGCACCTCTCTGGTCTGGGATTGCCACTGTAGAACGCATCCCTCTGGACATAAAGGTCAGAGGTCACCAGTGATCCCGCTCGTGTTGTGGGAATTCCCAATGCAAGCATGGCCTCACTGCACAGGAACTCTCGAATGCTGGAGCGGAGCACTTTACGCCCATCAGACTGCCTACAGTATACACAGATACTAAAGCTTATTTTTTTAAAACAAAGCACATGGACATTTTTTAACCCATTTTTGTTGGTTAATGGCTACCAGCAACTGTTTGGTTAAATTCTTCAAAATATCTTCTTTTGTGATCAACAGAGGAAACTCATACAGGTTTGGATCAACTTGAATTAAAGAATTTGAATTTTGGGTGAACTATCCCTTTTAGGATTTCAAGGTAGATGAATACATCTATTGTTATGGGTTAAGAGTGGATTTAGGCTCATTATTCATAGAATCATAGTGAAAGAGAGATCAACTTGAGTTAGACCACAATCTAGCCATTGTTAAGATTGTAAAATCCACATACAACACATAAGTCATGTTCTTAAGAATTACACTGTTTCAATCCAAAAAAGACTTTTTGGAGAGTAAAATGGGAGTGTGGCACAATGTTTAATGTTGGAAAAATACATTTCATTTTTGTCTTCTGTAGAGAACATATGCTTTTTGTTAACACAATGCATTACATAAACCTACTTACATATAAAATAAACAAATATTAAAACTTTTTAAAGCCTAAATTATGGCTTTTCTTTTCAATAAAAATGGTATATCTTTGCAATACATTTATGCATAATAAATTTCTTATTATTTTTAACAGACCAAAATGCAAAAAGCATTTATCTACCTTTTAAGTATTATTACACTTAATAGTGGATATTAAGGTGTTATTGATATCCTACATGTTACATGTACTTCCTATGGTAATAACAATAAATTATGCATAATTACATGCAATTAACAATAAACAAAACCCTCATTCTAACCCTAACAATATAGTAAGTACGTGTAGTTAATTAAAATTACTCAGTACTTAAATGTATAATTACACTGTAACAAGGACAAAGGGAAATAAAGAGTAACCTATTACTTAATGCAGTGAAGCCAAAGCAACGGTACCGAGAATAAGGCGTCAGTCCAGCGCCTTTAACCTGAATTTCCCACCGACCACAGGGGCTTGTGCTGATCGGGTTAGAACGTTGCTCAGCACCGGCCTCCACCTCCACCTCCCCCAGATAACACACAGCACCGTCACCCAGCTGCCCGGCGAGATGACCAAACTGGTGTCCGCAGTAGCAGTGCGCAGCGGGCTCAGAGCCCGGAATCACCCGAGAGCCACTTAGACATTCAGCCCCGTGCGGGTCACATAAAACATCGTCCGCGTTCAGTCCCAGTAAAGCAAGAGCCGCTTCCGATACCGCGACGAATGTGGGCTTGAGCAGAGGCTGCGGCTGAACACTGGAAAAACACGCCCCCGTCACGGTCCGTGAGCCCGGTTCTAGTGACGAATCCAACGGGAGTTTTTTCAATGCAACGTTGTTGAACTTTAGTCTTTGCAGTGGCGTGACCCTTTGGGCCATTCTGATACTAACGACAGTTTGTCTTGCACTTGCACTGTGATCCGTTTGCAGCTCTGCTCAAGAACATAATCCTTTGATGGATTAATGACTCAACACTGAGCACACAGAAAACCACACCAAATCTATCTATCTATCTATCTATCTATATAATCTTATTACCATGCACCATCTGCAGTAATACATTTTACAGAAAGAGTAGTCTGAAGGATCTAATCATAGTTGTTTGCAGGTTGAAACTGAGATAAATTTCAATCACCTGGCAGGCCATTAAAGAGGCATCACTGACTGTCCCAGATCCCAATGATGAATACGATTGTAATTGCAGCAGGGGTTGTGAAAAAGAAATACAGACTATCATAAATAAGAATGTTTAAAATCGCAGATTGAGGTTTGGTCAGCTACCTTTTGGGAGCCAAAATATAAATCAAGAGTCTATCCATTTTAAAAAGTACAATAAAATGCACCGTTTTGCTACAAACTCCCAACCAGATGGAGCTGTGCATAGTGGGTTCAAACGTGGATTGTCTACAAAGTTAATAGCTGCTGGCATGCAGTTGTTCAACACATATTTTTACATATGAAAATAAAAATGACATTTAAATTCATGTTTTTACTTTTTTAATTTGCTGCTCTTCAAACTCGTATTCGATCTGGCTCCATTCGTCTAAGTACTGCAGTTTTCACGATTGGGAATCAGATCTCAATAAATTAATGATTGGGAATCAGATCCCAATAAACAAATAAAACCAAGTTTTAGCCATGCATTTTTCTTGTTTAATATTCTGTTTCAGTATATTAAATGAAATGGGTTGCAAGTGGCAATTCACAATGATGAATAATCACATTATTGTCACTAAAACAGCAAGGTTTAATACAACAACATGTGCACTTGGTCATGCATTCTGTATTAGAAATTAATTTAATATTGTTATTTTTAAGAACAATACATATTTTTGTCTTTTTTCTTTCTTTTAATTGACAATATTTATATAATCAATTTACAATTACAATTACCTGCCGGTGAAGCATTCAAGAGCAAATCAGTATACTGTTTAGAAACCCCATGCACTCCACAATCAGTGTAACATATCTAATGGGCCATAAATAGAAAAACAATTTACAGAATATGAGACACAGTATATAGACAATTTCTAACTTTTTATACATAATATTTCAGTCAGTAATGGAAGCTAAATGGACTATTGGACAAAAACATTAGTCATTCAGAGTCATGCAACAATCAGAAAGTTAAATATATATAAGATAATGCACATATTTTACTCTACCTAGACATTCAATCTAACCTTTACAACACACTTGCAGTGTTTATTTGTTGCATTTGTCCAAAAAATGTTTACTGGTCTCTTCTGTAAAAACTGATCTGAACTCAAGAAACTGCAGCAAGTATATGAAAGTCTAGAGAAAGCAAATTCTTGATGCTTTTTTTATTTCAACGGGCTCGTCTTCGCAGTCTGGGTGAAAGACGATTTGCAAGCAGACATGCGAGGGCTATACCTGCCACCTGGGTGAAAGCAAGGCCCAGGACTGTTGCTGCAATATGAAAGACATTGTCATTTACCAAGCTGAAGACTTTGAGGAAACAACCGTGAGTGTAAATTCCTGCGAGCTTGATGTTCCTGAATCCACTCTCTGGCAATGGTCTATTGCGACAGCCTTTACGTTTAATACAACAACTGTCTGGTAATGACACAGAGGAATCATTCCCCAAACTTCCTGTTGAGTAAACAGCATCTTGAATAGCCCAATCAGACATGAGCCAATCGCGCCAACCCTCAGCGCCACAGCACTCAAGCGCCCTCTGCAGGCTGTCCAGTGCGTCTGCGTGGCCCTCGTCTTCTCCATAGTCCAAAACAGCTTTCTTAAGCCCGCTACGGAAACCTTCAGCAATATCCTCCCTGTAAAAGAGCCCTGAGAGACCCGCCGCTAGTCCACCCATGAGTGTGGCCAACTGGAAGAAGCCGTATGCCCGCAGAAGGTAAGGAAGGTTGGCAGCCACTCCCAAACATCCCAAAAAGCCCCAAGCGGTCACAGCAGCACCTGTGCCTAACAAGATGATTGGCGCATTTGGGTAGCGGTTCGCAGAGAGTAGCATGTAGTCGGACAACGAAGCCTGCGCCCAGACACCTAGGGTGAAGATTGCAAGGCCCGCTGCCCAAAAAAGGAAGCTGAAAATCAGGAGTGCAAGGCGCAGCAAGGGCATGACTCCCACCGCCCGGCAGCATGGTGGGGCGGCACCCACTGCAGGTACAGGGGGCGCCAGCGAGGCCTCCGAGCACAGCGATAACGAAAGACGTTGCTGTTGGTCAGTGTACTCTCGGGAGGGTGAGAGCAGATATCCAGGAAGCGCCGAAGGCCGTCGGGAAATGGAAGGTAAAGCCGGTCGAAGTGGGGAAGACAGTCTTTGAGCACCGTGCAGCTCTCTTTCCCACTCTTTTGCACGGCAGGGGCTTGGCCGAGCTGGTAGCGAGTCGTAAGGCGGCGCAGAGCTCATGGCGCCGTCTTGTGCTTTATCTACCCCCATTTCACTCTCTCTCTTTTACTCCTCCCTTTGTTTGGTCTTTTCTCATCTCTACCGCCTGTGTTTTACGGCCGGTCATCAACCCACCAGTGCCTATTCACACCCTCGTTTCACCATAAATCATCTTTGGATGAACGCATGGCACGCTTATCTTCGCCTGCAGATTCTCCGCCCTCTATCCGATGTTTATTTGCGACATTTCTTAAACTCTCTTGATACTCCTGCAATGGCTGTCTGACTACACTGCGTCTCTGATGATATGAAGGGGGGTTGGTAATTATATGGCTATGATGCTGTTAACCCACACCGCCCTGATCTCCTTCTACTGGTGCAGGAGCCAACGGTTCAGGATCATAAATGTCTGTTCTGATCGATATGTAGCCTTTATAAACCTTTAATAATCTAATGTCTTTACAACTTTGCTATTGATTAGTTTTTAGATTAAATTTTATAGATTTTCAGAATTACTCATTCATGTTATGTGTGTTGGTGCATATTCAAGGACACACTTTATAGCTCTTTAAACAGGATTGAATGATGTGAATATTGAATTTGCTTTGACTTCATTGGCACATTCACTGGTATTAAAACATAAAACTTTTAAACAGCATTGAAAGAGTTTACGTAACACTTTACAACAAGGTTAATTAGTTAACATTAGTTAACTACTTTAGTTAACATGAACTATAGCATGAACAATACTTCTACAGCATTTATTAATCCTAGTTAATGGTAATTTCAACATTTATTAATACATTATTAAAATTAAATGTTGTGCTTGTTAACATTAGTTAAAGGGTTAGTTCACGCAAAAATGAAAATTAGCCCACAAATTACTCACCCTCAACAAAAGCCAATAAAATAACCACACTTTTACTGAAAGTAACACAATAAAACTGGACAGAATTTATACTTTACAATAAGGTTAATTAGTTAACATTAGTTAACTACTTTAGTTAACATGAACTATAGCATGAACAATACTTCTACAGCATTTATTAATCCTAGTTAATGGTAATTTCAACATTTATTAATACATTATTAAAATTAAATGTTGTGCTTGTTAACATTAGTTAAAGGGTTAGTTCACGCAAAAATGAAAATTAGCCCACAAATTACTCACCCTCAAGTCATCCAGTCGAATCCAGTTGGAGCTATATTAAAAATTGTCTTTGATCTTTCAAGCTGTTTAATGCCACTCAGCGGGTGTTGCATGCTTCAGTCCA